CCTCAGCACCACATAAGCAAAAAGAAAAAAGCCGGAAGTGGTGCTGTGGCTCAAGTGGTAGAGCGCTAGCCTTGAGCTGAAGAGCTGAGGGATAGCTCCCAGGCCCAAAGTTCAGGCCCCATGACCAGACCCAAAAAACAAAACAAAACAGGAGAGGGAGAAAAATATTTATGTCATGATGGGAAATTTGAAACACTCTCTGTCCGTGCTGTACTATAGGCACGAATCCAATTGTCTAAAAAGGAAGAGAACTTGCTCTAAATACATCACCACTGGGCTGAAAATAGTCATCTCCTGGTGTTCTTCCATACATCAGTCCTCTTTATGAGGACTCTTCTCGAGGGAAGGCCAGGAGCCTCACCTGCTTCAGACTTGTTGAAGATGTTAAAATTGGGCATCTTTGAAGGAAAAACAAATAGCAAGACAGCCACAAAGACAGCTGCTGTGGCATCTGTGCAATACCTAGGCAGGAAAAAGCACAGAGGAATTTAGAAAAATCACTCAACACACCCAGCCTAACTCTAGCACCTTTGTGCCTAAATGCTCCTACAAAAAGAAATATCCACTACGGCTGGTGGTTCAGGCCTACAATCTTAGCTACTTAGAAGTTTGAGATGTCAGTGCGCAGGCCCAGAGTTTAAGCCCCACGACTGACCAAAAAAGAAGGTTGAGATCTGAGGATTGAGGTTTGAAGCTAGCCCAGGCAAGAAAGTCCATGAGACTTGTGTCTCCAATTAAGCAGCAAAAAGCTGGACGTGGAGGTATAGCTCAAGTGGTAGAGCACTAGCCTTGAGAGAAAAAAAAACCTAAGGGAAAACATCCTTGCCCTAAGTTCAAGCCCCAGTACCAGTGTGCGCGCGCACACATGCGCGCGCGCGCACACACACACACACACACACACACACACACACACAAATGATAGTAAGGGAGAAACTAAGAGCAGTAGACTCTTAGACTATGAACCCTGCAAGAGGGCTCTGGCCATGATACTTGCTGAGCCTTTTCTGCTCAGTTGTTTTGGAGAGAAGAGGGTACCACACAATCAACTACATCTGCCTGCAGTCTCATCATGAATATTAGGGGAAAAAAATAGGGTCATAAAGGCTGGGGTAGATAGCTCAGTGCTAGAGGACCTGTCTAGCATGTTGCAAGGACTTGGATTTGATGCTCAACATTGGAAAAAAAAAAGTCATGGGCTGGGAATGTGGCTTAGTGGTAAAGTGCTTGCCTAGCATACATGAAGCCCTGGGTTTGATTCCTCAGTACCACATAAACAGAAAAAGCTGGAAGTGGCTCTGTGTCTCAAGTGGTAGAGTGCTAGCCTTGAGCAAAAGAAGCTCAAGGACAGTGCCCAGGCCCTGAGTTCAAGCCCCAGGACAAACAAACAAACAAACAAAAGTCATAAAGTCAGCAGGACATTCTCTAAAACCCAGCTCCAAAGAGCCCAACTTGGCCTTCCCTTCCCACCTGTCTCAGAGAGCTAAGTCTGGGACTCTGGCTACACAAATAACTCACTTCTTCTCCCCTTCTATCCAAGCAATGGACAGCCAGCCGTTCATGTAGCCAGGGTCTCGGGTGAACCACAGGACGATGAGCAGGAGGAAGCACAGCATCACGCTGATCTCGGGGAAGGACAAGGCCCCCAGTTTACGGTACTCCTCCTCTAGCACAAGGTAGGCTGCTGTTTCGCCCTCCTTTGTCCTCTTCCCTCTGATGGCACCATGTCTGAAACAATAGAGCTGGCTGACGGCCGCATGGATGGTACCAGGGTACTTCCAGAACTAGGGGTATTCCCAGAAGAGATCAGCCAGGTATCAGGGATAAGAGGCAGGCCGAGGGAGGTTTTGTGGGAGGATAAGAGGCTAAGCTGAACAGGAAAATGGGCAGGAAGATATAGATACAGAAACAAACAGAATCAAGGCATCATCACTAGCAAAAGAGGTCCATCACCCTACTGGTCAACCCAGAGACAGGCTGCTCCCAAGTCATGGAGCCCAGCCTGCAAAATTTTAGCCCTTCCAGGGTAAAAGACAAAATGTACAGGAAGGCCGGGGCAAATGGAATGGGGAACAGGGGCTGATTTCCAGAGCCATGTTCCTTGTCATCATTGACACAGGGAAATGGCAGCATGGTGGCATCAGAATCCTGAGTATGCAGGGGTCAGGAAATGAGGCTGCATGGTAGAACTGTATGCCCACCTCCTAGGTGTGGGCAAGGCCCTTCCAGTATGGGATATCAAGGACCTCATTCACCAGGAAACCTGAGCCCCATGCCCCTGCACAGCCCTTAAAATTTCTAAGATGACCATGTGCTAGTGGTTCATGCCTGTAATCCTAGCTTCTAGGGAGGCTAAGATCTGAAGAGCCCAGTTCACAGCCAGCCCCAAGTAGAGATTCTTAATCTCCAATTTTACACACACACACACACACACACACACACACACACACACACACCAGAGGCATGGCTCAAGTGATAGAACACCAGCCTTGAGCAGAAAGCTAAAGGGCAGCACCCAGCCCCAGTACCAGAATCAAAACAAAGGAGGAGGAGGAAGAGGAAGGAGGAAGGAGGAGGAGGAGGAAGAGCAAGGAGGAAGAGGAGGAGGAGGAGGAGGAAGAGGAGCAGGAGGAGGGAGGAGGGAGGAGGAAGAAGAGGAGAAGGAAAAAGATGAAGAAAAAGAGGAGGAGGAGGAGGAGAAAGAGGAGGAAGAGGAGATCTCCTAGATGACTGGCAGCAGGGCAGGGCCTCAAACAGCACAGACTCTGGAGCCATCCAAGGCAGAGAAAGACCTCTTCCTTGGTCCCATCTGCCCAGGTGGAGAACAGGCCGTGTGAGTCCCAGCTTGTCTGGTGCTGGTGCTGCATCCTCGGCATAGCAGCAATGACCCAAGCTGCCATGGCTGTGCGGTTGTCAATACTGGTTCCCACGGGTGCCCTCCTACTGCCATCACTCATGGCACTGAACAGTTTCTCTCTCATTCCTGGGTTCATTTCACCTGGTGACTGCCAGGTCATCAGACAGCACACTGGCCAATGGATCCAGTTGGCCATGGGGGGCCTGGAGTTTGTGTGGGGACCAAAGTGTCCTCCTGCATCCCAATGGCCGTCACTAGAATGCATCAGAGGACTTGCCCTGGACTTGCTGTAGAGTCAGGCAGAGCAGAAGGGGGGTCCCAGAGCCCCCAGGTGTCTCCCCCATGGCAGGAGTTGGCAAGAGCCAGCAGGAAGAACACTTGCCTCATTCTGGGTGTGGGTTGTTGGTGTCTCCCATGTCATTCTTGGTCATCTGAAGCGGGGATCTCTGGCCCTCTTGGCCAAATGTAGTCTAGGAACCTATTCATAAATACATTTCTTCCAGACTGGGTTGGAAGCCAAGACACAATTTTTCTGGATTGGGCTAGAAGTCAAGACACAGTTTTTACAGACTGGGCCAGAAGTCAAGGCCTTGACATGGCTCTCCACACCATCAGAATAAGGGATGGGAGAGCAAACACAATGCAAGCAGGGGTGCTCCCTTGTGGAGAGACCTGTGCTCCTTGGACTCGGGTGTTGGTGTTTAGGAGGCATCATCAGGAGATGGGAACAGATTGTCAAGTCCTGGCATATAGTAGGCTTTGGAATGGTCCGTATTTCACTGGAGTGTTAAATGCTATCCCCGACCTTCCAGGTCTGGAACTGAAATGAGGCTATGTGTGAGCCATGCTCTGTTCTGCTTCTGAGCTACAATGGCATATCCAGCAGATATGGGGCAGGCAGCTGCCCTGCCAGGCTCTCCAAGTTCCATGGAGGCATGGCTCCCTGATAGTCCAGGGGAGCTGATGTGGGCTGTGCTGGGCACAGGAACCACAGCTGCTGGTTCTTGGCTGAGTTTTCAGGAGCTTGGTATCTAACCTTGGCTGCACGGTAGAAGGCTGATGATGTCCTTGTGGTCTTTTAGTGTGTGTGTGTGTGTGTGTGTGTGTGTGTGTGCATACATGTGCCAGCCAGTAGTAGGACTGGGTGCTGTCCCTTAGCTCTTTTTGCTAAAGGCTAGTGCTCAAGCACTTAAGCCACAGCTCCACTTGCCCTTGTGGCTATCTTGTCCAGCCAGTTCCCTCTTTTTACTTGGCCTTCAGACTTTCGGGAAACCCTGAAGCCACAACTAGTGTGAATGCACCTGGTCTGTCTAACAAATAATAACCCTTAGCCTCCCTAGATGACGATGGGTGAAATGAGGATTGTGGGACACAGGTTCTGGAGCAGAAACGTCTTGGCTCTAACCTCATGCCTTCACCCCCATGCTATTTATTAACCCTGTGTAGGCCCCACAACCTTTCCAGGCTTCAGTTGCCTTGTCTGTAAAGAACAAGAGCAAAAGTAATAAGAGTAGTGCATACATCACAAGCTGCTTTCAAGTTCAAGTTCCTAAGTGTAGGATGCTGGTGGCTCAGTCCTGTAATCCTACTCAAGAGGGTGAGGATCTTCATGGTTCAAAACCAACCCAAGTGACTTTTTTTTTTTTTTGTCGGTCGTGGGGCTTGAACTCTGGGCCTGGGCGCTGTCCCTCAGCTCTTCAGCTCAAGGCAAGCGCTCTACCACTTGAGCTACAGCACCACTTCCGGTTTTCTGGTGGTTTATTGGAGATAAGAGTCTCATGGTCTCTCCTGCCCGGTCTGGCTTTGAACCGCGATCCTCAGATCTCAGCCTCCTGAGTAGCTAGGATTACAGGCGTGAGCCACCAGCGCCCGGCAAGCCCAGGTGACTTTTATCTCCAGTTAACCACCAAAAAGCCAAAAGTAGAGCTGGGGCTCAAGGGGTAGAGTTTCAGCCTTGAGTGAAAAAGCCCAGGGAGTTCAAGCCCCAGTCCCAGCATAAAAATAAGTAAATAAATATCTCAGTGTAGAGTACTTAAAACAGTGCTTAATACATAATAAGCTTAATAAATTGCCAGTCATTGTTACTTAAAAAGACACAGAGAGCTGTACACCTATGGCACACTCCTGTAATCATAGCTACTCAGGAGGCTGAGATTTGAGGATCATGGTTCAAAGCCATCCTGGGAAAAAAGTCTGTGAGACTCTTATCTCCAATTAACCACTAGAAAACCAGAAATGATCCTGTAGCTCAAAGTGGAAGAGCACTAGTCCTAAGTAAAAAAGCTCAGAGACAGCACCTCGGCCCTGAGTTCAAGCCCCACAACTGATTAAAACAAAGATCCAGAGGCCCACCTGCAGCAAACTGGTCTGGAGTTTGAACTAAGGATGCTTATCAAACAGGTACTCTCACCACTGAGCCATGCCTCTACTCTGCTTTTCACTGGCTATTTTTTAGATGGGCTTTCTCCCCATGCACATACCTAGGTACAAGATCTACTGATAGGTTCCCAAGACAGCTAGGATAACAGGTGCTTACCACCTTGTCATGCTCTCCATTGAGAAAGGGGCTGGCCTCACACTGTATCCCTCCCAATCTCAGCCTCCCACGTAGCTATGTTGACAGGTATTAACCATCAGCATTCAGTTATACAGCTGTCTTTGTTTGTTTGTTTTTTATTTTTGTCATTCATGGGGCTTGAGATCTGGGTCCAGGCGCTGTCCCTGAACTCTTCAGCTCAAGGTGAACACTCTACCACTTGAGCCACAATACCACTTCCTAGTTTTCTGGTGGTCAATTGGAGATAAGAGTGTTACAGACTTTCCTGCCCAGGCTGTCTTTGAACCGTAATCCTCAGATCTCAGCCTCCTGAGTAGTTAGGATTATAGGTGTGAGCCACCAGTGCCCGGCTACAGCTGTTTTTTTAATGGCAGTGTTCAAACCAGTTCCTCCTCCAGAACAAAACTGATATTTCCATTTCCTATGAAATGGCAGGTGTTCATAGGTACTTCTGCAACTCTCCACTCCAGCTCCTTGGGAAATGAGGCATGACACACACACCCTCCACTCCTGGTTGAATACTTTCCATCCTGGTGCAGCACAATCACCTTTGTGACAGACAAATCTATGCGTTTAAAAATAACATTTGTTTATGTGTGTGCAGGTACTGAGGCTTAAACTCAGGGTATGGGTGCTGTCCCTTAGCTTTTTCACTCAAGGCTGGTGAGCCCTATCAATTGAGCCACAGCTCCACTTTCAGCTTTTTAGTGGTTAATTGGAGATAAAAGTCTCACAAACGTTTCCTGCTTGGGTTGACTTTGAACTGTGATCCTCAGATCTCAGCCTCCTGGGTAGCTAGGATTACAGGTGTGAGCAACTGGTGCTTAGCTACAACTTTTTTTTTAAAGGTATTTGTCTACCCCACATCCAAAGTCTGACTTCTATCAAGGGTGACTCTGGGTGAATTTGATAGGGTGCTGGGAACAGGAAGGAAGGCAAACATTGCAGGATGCATCCTGCTGGAAACCCGCAGGCCCTTGGTCATGGCTTGACTTTGGACTGACTTGGACAACATCAGGGCTGCTGTTGCCTGACCTAATGAACTCATGTGGCCAACAAGACATTTGTCCATCATTGTTCACTTGCAACACTTCTAATTGCTTCAACCCACATTGATGGCACACTTGTTCTTTCTCTCTGGCCTAGTAGACACGCCAGGGGCAGGGGCAGAGAGGTCTTAGAAAAGCTGGTCAAGGGAAAAGGGTTGCACTGGATCACAAGACAGGTGTCAAGGTACTGGGCTATGATAGGCCCAGGAGCAACTCAGAGGAGAACATCGGTCTTCTGAGATGGCACCAAGAGGAGAGAAGGTTAGGGATGAGATAGTTTGGAAAGTAGTTCTTGACCTGGCCTTTAAGGGTAAGAAGTTGTACAGTTCGAAGGCAGGAAATGGCCTTCCAGGCAAGTCCTGGGGTATTGGGAATCGGAGGGCAGGAATTAAAGCTGGGTCTGAGAGAAAGTCAGAGCTGGATAGAAGAGCTTTACAGACTGGCCAAAGACTGAGGATTTCTGCAGGGACAGGGCAGCTTACACTTACCTAGATCTCATGTAAAAGATGTAGAGCCACAGCCAGCTGCATGACAGCATGAGCAGCATGTTGGGGAAGGCAAATGCGAACCATGAGGCAAAGTTCAAGACATCTTTGCTATGAGGAAATAATCTGCAAGGAGAGACGCTGGCCTGAACCTCCACCCTGATGCTCACCACCCTGAGAGGTGGTTCTCATCAGAGCCAAGTACTCCCAATATCCAGCTGTGACCCCAGAATATGGCTGTGACCCAAGAGAAGTCGAAGGCATAACTACATGACCCTCTCGTGGGATACAGATCTCCCAGAGAATTTCACGAAATGCGTAGCTCTTCTTCTTAGGAAAGTGCCCATCACACATGTATCTGCCATTTGGTTGACTCTGTGTGGGGGGGGGATGGGGAGGGGGGAAAGGGGGAGCCATCAATGCTTCTGGAAATCCTCATCCTGAAGACAAAGCTCAAAAATCACCCAGGATGGGATTGCAAGGTGCACCCAGGCCTCCCCTCGGGTCTCTGCTAGCCCCCAGGGCTGCTGCTTTAGCTCAAAGCTGTCAATGCAAACCCAGAGCAGCCCACCTGCTTTTTCTGGGGCCAGTATGAGGGCTTGAACTCAGGACCTGGGGACTGTCACTGTCCCTTTTCTTTTTCCACTCCATGCTGGCACTCTACCACTTGAGCCACAGCTCCACTTCTGGCTTTTTGATGATCAGTGGGAGCTCTTACTGACTTTCCTATTCATGTTTCCTTGGTACCTGGATCCTCACATCTCAGCCTCCTAGATAACGAGGATTGCCAGCATAAGCTGCTCATCCCAGCTAGATGGGCTGCTTTCCATAGAGGAATTTAAAGGGAAAACCCAAGGATATCATTACAGAAAAGACCAAAGCATATTCTGGTTGCCACACTTGGAGTTTCTGGTTTGCTGGGCTGCAGGCCTGTCCTTTCCACCCCCAGCTCTTGTACCAGCCCTGCCCAGAATCCTTGTCTGCACAGGACAGGCACCACTTTATTTTTTTTCCTAACCACGGAAATTTGTACAGACCTTATTTAAACACATTTATTTACCAGATCAGATCTGTCTGGAGCTCCCTGGTATCTGGCACCTTCAGGAGACCAGAAGAACCTCAGGGTTTTTCTAACTGTCACAGCCCCAGCCCCACCCAGCAAAAAGCTGAGCCCAGACATGGCATCCTATAGCCCTGTCCCTTTGTAGTCCAAACTGTCCTTCTGGTCTACCCCAGGCTTCACAGGGATCTATTACCTCAAGGGCTGGAATGAGACTAGAGTGAATGAGTCAATTCTCCTCTTTCACATCATAGGATAATTTTTCCCCCTTCCCATCCCCTAACATCATAGGATAATTTATGGGGCACTGTCCCATAGCTTTTCTGCCCAAGGCTGGTGCTTTATCAATTGGGCCACAATTCCACTTCTGGCCTTTTGATAGTTCATTTAGGATGAGAGTCTCATGGACTTTCTTGCCAAGGTTGGCTTTGAACTGTGATCCTCAGATCTCAGCCTCACAGGTATAATTCACCTGCATCAGACTCAGAGAAAAATTGATAGCTATTTTTTTTGGTCAGTTGTGGGGCTTGAACTCTGGGCCTGGGCATTGTCCCTCATATCTCCAGCTCAAGGTGAGTGCTCTACCACTTGAGCCACAGCACCACTTCCAGTTTTCTCGTAGTTTATTGGAGAGAAGAGTCTTACACGGACTTTCCTGTCCCACTGGCTTTGAACTGTGAGCCTCAGATCTCAGCCTCCTGAGTAGCTAGGGTTATAGGTGTGAGCCATCAGCACCCAGCTAATTGATAGCTATTAACAAGCCACGTTAATGAGCTTGGGTTGGGACTTTTTAAAAAATGTCTATTTTCTACAATCTTTTTTTTTGCCAGTTCTGGGACTTGAACTCAGGGCTTAGGCACTGCCCCTGAGTTTCTTTTGCTCAAGGCTAGCTCTACCACTTGAGCCACAGTACTACTATCCGCTTTTTCTTTTTATGTGGTACTGAGGAAACCCAGGGTTTCATTCATGCTAGGCAAGCACTCTACCACTAGGCCATGTTCCTATCCCTATTTTCTATAATCTTTAACCAAGGCATCAGTGACTACTCTATCATTTCTGTCATCTCTGACTTGAGGTCAATGCTCAGTCCACTCTATGTGTCTGGGCTGGAATCGCTGGCCCAAGGCAGAGGCTGCCTACAATGCCCATGAATGAGCTCCTTTGGCCTCAGGTCCCTGGTTCTCTGAGTGCTTCTCAATGGTGCCCAGAGTGCCAGGACCCAGGCTGTATGAGGTACATCTTTACGCCCAGAGCCAGGCTGCCAGCTCCAGGACTCCACTGAAAAGAAGTATGTAGGTCCCACCAGCCCCAGGGCCAACTTTTCTTCCCCCTTGAAGGTATGCCACAACTCACTCCTGCATCTGGCCCAGGAGCACCACGTTAGGTCCTGTCCCCGTCAGCGTGGCTGTTCCCCCAATGCTGGCTGCATAGCACACAGACAGGTTCAAGGCCTTGTACATATTCTTTTTCTCCGTGGATATTGCCTTCTCTGCAGAGTGGCTATCTTGTTTCCCTGTGGCAAGTAAAGAGTTACTAGTTGAGCCAGTTGGCCAGCTCCAGATCCTGAAGACAAGATTCCCTCCCTGGCAGGGAGAGTGCATTCTTCAGCCTCCATCCCCAAGTGCAGAACAAGCTCCATTTGTCTTTCTAGTCCCTTCCCAAGCATATTCCCTGAGGTTCTTCCAAGATCCCTTCAAATCCAGCAACTTAAAACATATGTCCCTTCTTTCCTAGGGGACATCGAAGCCATATCAAATGCCCCTCTTCCCGTGAAGCTCTCTCTCTTTCTGAGCTGCCTTGAGGAGTAGCTTATGACTTGTCAATGCTTCCCCAGAGTCAGACAATCTGTACAAGAGCCTATTCATGTGTGCAGTCCTACCGCACTGGTTTCCATGACTCAGTGGCTAGAGTGTGACTAGTGAGAACCCAGGACTGTTAATCCATCGTGTGTGTGTGTGTGTGTGTGTGTGTGTGTGTGTGTGTGTGTGTGTGTATACTAGGACTTGAATTTAGGGCTAGAACATTCTTACTTAACTTTTTTTCCTCAAAGCTGACACTCTACCACTTGAGCTACAATTCCACTTTTCAGTCTTTTGCTGATTAATTGGAGATAAGAGTCCCATGGACTTTCTGCTCAGGCTGGCTTTGAATCTCAAGCCTCACAACTTAACCTCCTGAGCAGCTAAGATTACAAACATGAGCCACCGGGGCTTAGAAATCATGGGCTCTCAGTTGTTCTGTGCAGGGTCCTGTGCAGATCGTGCTCTTGGCCCCTGAGCTCTGTGCCTAATGGGAAAAATAGGCACAGGACACCAAGTCTAAGATCTGGTATCTGGCAGGGGGTATCTGGCTGGTAGAAGAAAGTCAGAAAAGGCCTCTCTGAAGATGGCAGGAGTGGAACAGGACAAGAAGCACACAGGGTCACTCCCAATAGGTGTTCAAAAGATGCCTGTGCCAGCCAAACCCCAGTGTTTGATGCCTGTTATCCTAACTACTTGAGTCTGAGATCTGATGATCACGGTTCAAAGAGTCTGTGAGACTTTCATGTTCAATTAACCTCTGAAAAGCCAGAAGTAGAGCTGTTGCTCAAGTAGTAGAGTTCCAGCTTTGAGCAAAAAATGTCAGGACAATACTCTGGCTGTGAGTTCAAGTCTCAGACTAGTACAGTACACACATGTACACACACACACACGCACGCATGCACATACACATGCACATGTGTGTGCACTTGCATGCGTTTATGAATGGAAATGCAGTAGAATAAGTTTTACTAAAGATCTGACTTTTATACAATGCAAGTGTGTGTGTGTGTGTGTGTGTGTGTGTGTGTGTGTGTGTGTGCTGGTACTGGGGCTTGAATACAGGGCCAGGACACTTTTGCTTAGTTTTTTTGCTCAAGGCTGGCACTTCTACCACTTGAGACATATCTCCACTTCTGACTTTTTGCTCATTCATGGGAGAGAAATGTCTCCTGGACTTTTCTGCCCATGTTAGCTTTGAACCTCTGTCCTCAGATCTCAGTCTCCAGAGTAGCTAGGATTACAGGTGTGAGCCACAGGTGCCTGGATCAATGATAGCATTTTCAAAACTGGCGACAACAGTATTTTGTAAACATTGTTCTCTTTGCCTGTTTAAGAAAAGACTACAAGAGTCAGGGAGGGAAAAGAAAACAGACAAAACATTTGACCAGCCACAGAGACAAAAGCTGTGCCCAAGGCCTGGCAACTCACTGCCTCGGCCCCTTTCCTCCATCTCGGTTGGCTTCTCCACAGCTGCAGTTGTCATTTCCATCTGCCTCAGCATGGCCTCTAAAATGGGCACCATCATGGCTGTGGTTGCCGTGTTGCTGATCCACATAGACAGGAAGGCTGTGACACCCATGAAGCCCATCATCAGACTGTGAAGAGGGAGGAAAGGGAGAGTTAGAGCGTACCCCCTCCTCACAACTGCCTCATTTCCTCAGAACAACTGGGAGCCAGGCCTACCCTTTGCAAGTTCAAGATGAGGGTTTCCAATTGGCAATTACAGTTTGCTTGTGTTTTATGGTGCCAGTTCTAGAGGATTAAACTTGGGGCCTAGGCACTGTCCCTTAGCCTTTCACTCAAGGCGGGCATTCTAGCAGTTGAACAGTAGCTCTACTTGAAGCTTTTTACGTGGTTAATTGGAAATAATCTCACAGACTTGCCTGCCTGGTCTGGTTCTGGACACCAATCCTCAGATATCAGCCTTCTAAGTTGCTAGGATTACAGGAATGAGCCTGTATACAATTCTTTCCCGACAGTCTCCTCCACATGCAGAAAACCTCCACCCACTGTGGCTGTCCACCTACTGTTCCTTGGACACCTGGGCCTGCCAACTTAGCCTGAAACGTACCCACCCTAGGACCAGCCCTGCTCCCTGCGGGTGGCCTAGCGGGTCTCATAAGCTCTCAGCCCTGAGGCCACACAGAGCCACATGGCCAAAGAAAAGGCATAATTACCGTGTGGGCCTGGCTCCCACTATGAGCAATGTTTTCAGAGCAATCCTCTTGTGCAGATTCCAGCGCTCCACAGCCACGGCCACAATCATACTGCCCACGAACAACATGTTGGTGTCTGTCATATACTGGACACACACCTGCATGGCAGCAGGAAGGCCCGATCAGCATGCGCCCGGTTCCACTCAAGGCCCTGGAGATTGGCAAGCTGACCACATGCTGATTTCAAGAACAGCCTGGAGTTGGCTATGTCATACCCAGAAGAATCTACTAGTGGGGCTTGTGTGACCACCTTCATAGGAAGCTAGGACACTCAGGGAGGGGCCTGAAGAAGGAACAGGTGCTCATAGGAGACCCAGAAGTCACCTCCTCCCCTCCCCATGCCTCGGGTCTGCTCACCTGCTTGGAGCCCATTATCTTCAGGAGTGGAAAGAGCAAGGCAGGCAAGAGAGAGGTGATGGCCATGGGGATGACGTCCGTGCACCAGTAGATGGCCATGAGGAAGATGACATAGGCACATCTGACAGCCTGCAGACACAAGCCCCTTTGTCACATCACAGGAGGGCAGCCAGGATAGTTTGCCACTAGAGCAAACCAGGCTCAAGCCATCTAGGAGGGCCAACAATCAGTCACAAGACTCCTGTTCCCACTCCCAACTTTCCTCTCCCTCCCTTTCCCAGCTCTGTGGTCCCAGGTAACTTCTTGCATCTTCCAAACCTTGAATTAAGTCACCTGTAAAAAGAAGAAGGGAAGAGGAAAGGGGAGAGAAGGAGAGGGGGAAAAAAGAAAAGAAGGAAAAGGAGGAGGAGGAAGAAGAAGCAGCAAAGGAGGGAAACAATAAAATGCCATTTTTGAGTGAGCTACTCTGAAAATTATGCAAAAACACTTTGCAGCTGGGTGCCGTGGCTCACACCTGTAATCCTAGCTACTTAAGGAGGCTGAGATCTGAGGATCATGGTTCAAAGCCAGCTCAGGCAGGAAAGTCTGTGAGAATCTTAACTTCAATGAACCACCAGAAAACTGGAAGTGGCACTGTGGCTCAAGTGGTAGAGCACTCATATTGAGCTGAAGAGCTCAGGGATGGTGCTCAGGCCCAGAATTCAAGCCCTATGACTGACCAAAAAAAAAAAAAAAACATTTTGCAAAGAAGTACAATTCTAGCCAGGCACTGGTGGCTCACACCTGTAATCTTAGCTATTCCAAAGCCTGAGATAGGAGGATTGAGACAGCCTCTTACCTCCAATTAACTAGCAAAATGCTAGATGTGGAGATATGCTGAAGTGATAGAGTGCCAACCTTGAGCAGAAAAGAAAGGGGTGGGGAGGGGGAGGAGAAATGCCATTTTCAGCCAGGAATAGGGATATATGCTACATGCTTGCAATCCCAGCATTCAGGAGGATGAGACAAAAGGAGGGCAAGTTCACTGCCAATCTGAGCTACACATCAAGTTCTAGGCCAGCTTAGAATATATCGTGAGACCCTGTCCCAGAAGGAAAAACCAGGCACTGGTGGCTCAAGCTCGGGAGTCTGGAGATCAAAGGACCAAAGTTCTAAGCCAGCCCAAGCAGGAAAGCCCATGAGACTCTTATCTCCCCTACCAACCAAACAGCTGGAAATGGAGGTTAACAGTTCAAGTGATAGAATATCAGTCTTGAATAAAAAAAACTAAGAGACAGCACCTGGGCCCCTACATTTTCAAGCCCCAGCCTCAATATGGACATGCACACATAACCCCCCCCCACACACACACACACAAAGAAAGCACTATTCCTCTTCCTTTTGCAAACAGAATAGTCTTTTCTATGATCTCTTTCAACCCTGTCTCCTTTCCTCCACTCTGCCATAGTCACTTCTTCCTACAGTTACAAGTGTGTCACTCTGGCTGTCTGGAAAGCTGTAAGTCTTCTGTAAGACAGACTGACCATACCACTTCTTTGCTTGCAGCTGTAGGAGTGAGTATGCTTTCCTCTCTGAAGCATGTCCTCAGACTCTTCATACCTAGACCTTATTTCTTTCTCAGAGGGCTGCTCAAACTCTCTCCATCCCCATAACCAACTCAGACAGAAAATCACCACCACTGAGTGGTACTATGGTTTTCTCGCTTTATTTGGGTGCACCTATGCCCGGTGGTTTTGCCAGTATCTCTCCAGCCACAAAAGGCTCTATCTTTTACTTGAATTTGATCCTGTGTGAACTGTCTGTTCTCATCACTTAGCCATGAGGGTCTTAGCTCTGGAGTGAGACCAAGCTGGTCTTCTAAGGAAGCGCCTGGTTCTTTAACCATTGTGACACTTGGGATAGATTAACAAGTTACCTCGGCCCTCAATCTTGTCACCTATTAAGATGTGGAAAATATTTAGAGATAAACAGCTTGTGTTTCCTCTCATATGCAGAAGCCAGATCTAAAATACACAAGGACATGATAAATTGTACAGGACTCTAGGCATTCCCACACAGAGACACCAAAAGAAGATACTTTTAGGAGAGGAACACAAAGGCACAAGGCCTATGTGCATCTGATCATACAAAGTAATATTTATCAAAATGAACTCCAGGAAGTGGATAGAAGAGGGTGCTTTTGTTTCTGTTTTTGTCTTTTTTGTTCATTTGTTCGTCTGTGGGAGGGCAAAGGAGGCAAAGAGATGGAGGGAGAGGGGCTGGGAATGTGGCTTAATGATAGAGTGCTTGCCTTGCATGCATGAAGCCCTGAGTTCAACTCCTCGGTACCACATACACAGAAAAAGCTGGAAGTGGCACTGTGACTCAAGTGATAAGAATACTAGTTTTGAGCAAAAGAAGCTCAGGGACAGTGCATAGGTCCTGAGTCAAGCCCCAGGACTGGCAAAAAAGAAAAAGAAAAGAAAAGAAAAAAGAAATGGAGAGTCAAAGGGTGAACAAATGCAACAGTGGTAGTGACTGGACACTATGTTGAAATGAACTATACAACTTGTGGGTGAAGGTAGGAGGGGAAAACTGGGAGAGAGCAAGAAAGCAGTGACATTGTCCAAAAAGAAATGTACTCCTATACCTGATTTATGAAATTGTAACCCCTCTGTACAGCACCTTTCTAGTAACAATTTAAATTTTATTTCTTTTATGTCAGTTGTGAGGCTTGAACTCTGGGCCTGGGCGCTGTCCCTGAGCTCTTCAGCTCAAGGCTAGCACTCTACCACTTGAACCACAGTGCCACTTCTGGTTTTCTGAGTGGTTTATTGGAGATAGGAGTCTCATGGACGTTCCTTGCCTGGGCTGGCTTTGAACCGTGATCCTCAGATCTCAGCCTTCTGAGTAGCTAGAATTACAGGCATGAGCCACCAGAACCCAGCATGTGGTTCCTATCAACTTCCCAATTATGTTTAAAGATATTCACTCAAGTCTGAGTCTGGATTAGCCTTATAACTAATCAAAGGTTATTGAACCATGTGTGTTTGATCTTTTCTATCTGTTTTATTTTTGTGCTAGGACTGCCTGATGCTCTTCTTTTCCACTCAAGGCTAGTGCTCTACCATTTGAGCCATATCCCCACTTCTGGCTTTTTGCTGGTTAAGTGGACAACAGGGTTTCATGGATTTGTCTGCCAAGGCTGGCTTCAAATTGGTATGGTCTTGAATCATGATCCTCAGATGGTAGCCTCCTGAGTAGCTAAGATTACAGGCACGAGCCACAGGAGCCTGGCTGGGATCCTTTTTTTAGACACTCAGGCACAGGTTTACAAAAACTAGGCAATTTTCTATCTTAGTCTCATTATTCCCCTAAGGCATGGCTTCTCATTTAATATTTAGAAGAAAACAGAGGGCCTTGGAAAGAATTCATTTTTGAACAGTTGATTCAAAGTACAGTCATAGTGATTTTTTCCAGCCTTATTTTAATGGTCCTAAGGTTCCCAATCCAATTTAACTTTTTATATATTTTCTAACTCCCCTGTCACCTTACCTTTACTATCCTGCCTCAGAGGAGAGAGCCTGTCCCAGGCTCCCCCGAAAAAGACAAGAATCAAACTAGAGTCGGTCATGCTAAGGTTCCCTGTCACCATACCCAATGTGAGTTGTTATCTGGCCTTCTGGAGAAATTAGGAAAAAACATTAAGAATCACATTGTCTAAACAGACCAGCTTCAATCCCAATCACAATGAGGATCTTCCTGCTTTAGTTCTTATGAAAGAGTATCCCTGAAGTTAACCAGTTATTTTTCCATTTTTCTGGCTCCATGTCCCCACCTTAAAAGGAATGCCTCCTCTAAATGACCAATTCATTTTGGGTTTTTTTGTTTTATTTTATTTTCCTGCCCTTTTGTCTATAAACTTATTCTATTCAGATTATTGAAATAATTATGGGAACTAAATAGCAGGATATGTTGCTGAAATCTAGAGCCAAAAGTAAAGCCAAGATATAGAGTTCAAGTGGTAGAGTGCCAACCTTGAAGGAAGGAAGGAGAGAAGGAAGGAAAAAAGAAGAAAGAGACAGAGAAAGAGAGAGAAGAAGGAAGGAGGGAAGGAAGGAAGGAGGGAAAGATGGAAGGAAGGAAAGAAGGGAGAGAGGAAGGAAGAAGAGAGGGAGGGAGGGAGGAAGGAAGGAAGGAAGGAAAGAAAGAAAGAAAGAAAGAAAGAAAGAAAACAGGCAGACAGAGAACCATTTGCCAGGCTCTGGTGGCTCATATCTGTAATCTAGCTACTCAGGAGGATTGTGTTTCATAGCCAGCCTGGGCAGGAAAGTCCATGAGCCTCTCATCTCTCATTTACTTCTAGCGAAAAGCTAGAAGTAGAGCTGTAGCTCAAGTGGCAGAGCACTAGCCTTGAGCTAAAGGACAGCACTCTGGACCTGACTTCAAGCCCAAGTACCTGAATTCAAACTCTTGTAATGGCACAACTAAATAAAGCCAATTAAGACCTTCACATTTGTGGAGAATTTGTATGCTGATAACCCCCCAAGGCCGTTGCTCAGACTGTATCTTCTCGTGCCTGAATCCTAGTAACTGTCTTCTAATTTGATCTTTTGCTTCCATCCTCCCAAGTCAACTTCTCTCTTTCTATTCTGCAAATCTGATCACACCACTCCTAATTTAAGAATCCTGCCATTGGGCTGGGAAGGTGGCTCAGTGGTAGAGTGCTTGCCTTGCATGTATGAGGCCCTGGGCTCAATTCCTCAGCACCATATAAGCAGAAAAAGCTGGAAGTGGTGCTGTGGTACAAGTGGTATAGAGTGCTAACCTTGAGCTGAAGAGCTCAGGGACAATGCCCAGGCCCAGAATGCAGGCCCCACCACCGACAAAAAAAGGAAGGAAGGAAGGAAAGAAGGAAGGAGGGAAGAAAAGAAGGAAGGAAAGGAAGGAAGGAAGGAGGGAAGAATGCTGCCATTGCCTTTAGGACCAAATTCATTGCCTTTGCAGTAGTTGCAAGACCCTGTGCCATAGACCAGACCCTGCTGGCCCCTGCAGCCCAGTGCCCTTGGCCCACTCCCACCCAGGGTCCCAGTGGCTCCAAAGTACTTCCCTGTCACAGTCTCCTCTTACCTAGCCTGGGAGGTAAGACTTGGCTCAGAGTCCTCTTTGTTTTCCTCCCTTTCCTCCCAGTCTGGTCTGTGACTGTCCTCAGAGTGCCCCAGCTATGAACACAATGAATTGTCACTGTTTCCTGGACTGTCTCCCTCCACCACCACTGCCAGTGTGCCACCAGAGGGTACGAATAGTATTTGTAGAATCTCCTGTCCTTGGCATCCAGCATAGTCCCAACATACAGCCAGCACTTAACTATCAGCTGTCCCAGGTGCTGGTGGTCTGATTGCAGTTCAAAGCCAGTGTGAGCAGAAAACTCTGTGAGACTCTAATCTCCAATTAACCACCAGAAACCTGGAAGTAAAGCTGAGGCTCAAAGTAGTAGAGCACCAGCCTTGAGTGAAAGAGCTCATATACAAGCCCCAAGTTCAAGCCCCACGATTCACAAAAAATAAAAATGAAAAAATCAGCTGGCATTGTCTGAGTTCAGCTTGGATTACTGTGCTGAGAAAACCATTCCTGGTCACTAGCCCCTGGCCCTGTTTATTACCACCATAGAGAATGCATAAGACAGTACGACATGGGGCTGGGTGTTGGTGGCTCATGCCTGTAATCCTAGCTACTCAGGAGGCTGAGATCTGAGGATCACAGTTCAAAGCTAGCCCAGGAAGGAAACTCCATGAGACTCTTATCTCCAATAAACTACTCAGAAAACCAGAAGTGGCTCTGTGGCTTGAGTGAACACTAGCCTTGAGCTGAACAGCTCAGAGACAGCACCCAGGCCCAGAGTTCAAGCCCCACGACTGACAAAAAAAAAAAAGTGTGACAAGATGTACATTCTTCACCAGCCAATGGTTCATGTCTGAAACCCTAGGTACTCTCAGGGAGCTAAGATATGAAGGTGGTTGTTTGAAGCTAACCCAGCAGAAAAGTCACAAGACTCTTGTTTCCAAATAATCAGCAAAAAGCCAGAAGTGAAGCTGTGATTCAAATGGTAGAGCACCAGCTTCGAGTGGAAAAAGCTGTGGGAGAATACCCAGGCCCCAAGTTCAAGCCCCAGTACAGGCACACACGCATATAAAAAAAAGAGGCTTTGCTATTCCCCCCCCCCACCACTCCTCAACATCTTTCCTTTGAAAAACAGCATAGAAGCTTCAGCTTTGTGCTGTGTTCCTGGATAATTATAATCTGGTTGTTCCCATCCCATAATAGGCCTGTTCATCTTTCTTCTTCCTCATCTATGAACAGTTCTTACCTACAAACCTTCTGAGGACAGAGAGAAACTTTTCCTTCTACCCCTAGGATGGCTGCTGGCACAAAGTCGCTGTGGTATGCCATGGGGATCAGCTGATGGGAAGTGGGAGATCCCCTCCAGGGGATAAGAGTGCACTGGAGAGAATTTTTAAATAGTACTACTGAAAATCAATCTATGTCTATGCAATAATGTCATTGATAAGTTACCTTTCCTGCTGCCATCCTTAGCCCTGCTCTGAGCTAATTCATGTGATAGTCTATAATTTGAAGATTTTGAGGAACTCACAAAGTCTTCAGCAACTTTTTTTGTTGTTGCTGGTCGTGGGGCTTGAACTCTGGGCCTGGGAGCTGTCCCTGAGCTCTACCACTTGAACCACAATGCCACTTCTGATTTTCTGAGAGGCTAATTGGAGACAGGCGTGAGCCACTGGCACCCAGCTATCAGCAACTTTTAAATAAAAATTAGGCAGGCTCACACCTGTCATCTTAGGCACTCAGGAGGCTAAGATCTGAGGGTCACAGTTCAAAACCAGCCCAGCAGAGAAGTCATAAGACTCTTCAATTAACCAGAAAAAAAATCCAGAAAGGGAGCTGTGGCTCAAGTGGTAGAGTACCAGCCTTAAAGAGGGGAGAAGCTGAGCAAGAACATGAGGCCCTGAGTTCAAGCCCCAGTACTGGCACACACACACACACACACACACACACACACGTTTACAATTTAAGAAAATAAATAACACAATGAATTTATCACTTATTCTATTTTAATGATTGTAAGAGAAAGAGAGAACTAGAGATGGGGTAGTAAAGGTTAAGCGAGTTGAGGCCAGATCACAAGTAGGATAGATGGAGGTAAAGAAAAAAGTCTGGCTGGGCGCTGGTGGCTCATGCCTGTAATCCTAGCTACTCAGGAGGCTGAATTCTGAGGACCATGGTTCAAAGCCAGCCTGGGCAGGAAAGTCCATGAGACTCTTATTGCCAATAAACCACCAGAAAGCTGGAAGTGGTTCTGTGGCTCAACTGGTAGAGTGCTCGCCTTGAACTGAAGAGCTCAGGCCCAGAGTTCAAGCCCATGACCAACAAAAAAAAAAAAGGAAAAAAAAAAGAAAAGAAGCCTGGAGAGGCATGGCCAGGACAGTATGGAGGGTAGGCAGTGTCCTTAAACTCCCATCCTTGGTGACAATGACAAACTGGCTGCCACATTCCTGTTGACTTCCCTGACTCTGCTGTACACCTCTGGATTTTCCTTCTCCATGCAAGGAGTTTAGGAGACTGGGAGATCTTCAGTACTGACCAAAACAGAAGCACAAGGGGGATGGGGAAACCCAGAAAGTTAAGGACCAAGGTCCTGGGGCTGGGAAGGTGGCTCAGTGGTAGAGCGTTTTTGCCTTGTATGCCTGAGGCCCTGGGTTCTATTCCTCAGCACCACATAAGCAAAAAGAAAAAAGCCAGAAGTGGTGCTGTGGCAGTGCCCAGGCCCAGAGTTCAGGCCCCATGACCGGACCAAAAAAAAAAGGAAAGGACCAAGGTCCTTAACTACTCTGAACTCTGGGGGAAAGTGCTGGAGCATTGTCTCTGGGAAGACTCTCATTGGATCTTCTCTTCCCTCTCTTGACCCTCATCATTCCCAGGGAAGCTTAATAATCTGGGTTGGTAACCTAGTTCTTGTGTGTACACATACGCATGTGTGTCAGGGAAAGAGCAGGGGTCTCAGTTACACTGGGAGCAGAAAGGTCAACCAAATGACTTTAATGATTACAAGGTACATTGTTCCCTGCTGGGGAGCTGAAATCACAGCTCTCATCTGGCTCCCTCCCAATGATAGGACAGATTCAAATCTCAGGGTGATGAAGAAGCACCACCACTGGACCTGCTGGGAACTCTGCTCAGCTCAGCTCATCAGAGAACCCCTCCAATCCCCAAGTCTCAACCCATGTACAGATCATCCCATGTATAGATTAGAGAGCCTGGGTCCTGGCAAGAATCCTGAAACTGTGTGAATGGCAAAGTCTGGTCATCTCAAAGGCTGGCTTCCTGGCATCCCAGTGTAGCCCTCTCTTGCAGGACTGCTCTCAGAATGTCCCCTTCAAGGGTTTCTCTGTTCCCCAAACCTGTCTGGGGAAAGGAGGTATGATCTGAGGTTTCCTGTCTGGGGGGAGGGTGAAAGAGGTTGAACGCAGGAGTGAGCAAGGAGCAGCCAGCAGCCACAAAAGACTTCAAAGGCTCAGGCCTTGCCAAACTGGCTGTATACAGCACAGCACAGTCCAGGCCAGAGTGCCCAGTCTGCCCCAGCCCAGCAGCCAAAGCCATTCATTCTCTCCTCCCTCCCAGGAGCCAGGAGGCCAGGGCATGGCAAGCCAGGATCTTGCCACCCAAGGCGTGAGCTCTGGGAACATGTACCATCTCCCGTCAGCCGGCAGCTCAGATCCAGCCACACCAGCCTTTCAGCCCGACACAGGATTAGAATCCTGAGTTTGAATTCTTATGTGCTTCTGCTCGTTTCTGAGTTGGAAAGAAAGGAGGATTCTATCTGGAGAAACTGAGACTCAGGATCGCCACAGGTGATCACCTTTCCCTGCCGGTCCCTGACTGGTGTGGGCTGGGGAAGAGGCCAAGTCAGAGCTTGATCTGTGCCTGGGGTCTGAGTGGTCACGCTCAGGGCACACGTCTAGATCTCCGTGCTTGCCAGGACCGTTCTTACATGCTGAGACTGTGAGCCCCGGGACAGTGCACCCCGCACCCCCGGATTCCCAGCCAGGCCCACAGCCGCGGGGTGCGCAGGGCCCCCGCGGGAGCTGTCCCACCGCGCATCCGTGCGTTCCTGCTCCACGCCCGTTACTGGACATTGAGGACCCGTTACTGGACGTCGTGGGGCGCCAGGGTTCCACCCGGCCGTCCTGAGCGCGACTGACCTTTCCTGGGACCACCAAGATGAGTGGCAGCAACAGGATGGGGGTGCAGAACAAGATCAGCACGGTCTTCAGCTTGCACACGTACTTCAGCAATGAGGGCATCGCGCCGCGGGGAGGAGACCAGAGCCAGGGACGGGTGGCCCTCGGCTAAGGACGCCGACTCTGGGCTTAAGAAAGAGCCACGGAGTTGGGGGAGGGAGGGCGGCGACAGCTCCGCCCCCCCTCGGGGCGCCCTCCCGGCCCGGGGCGGGGCCACCCTCGGGGGTCGGCGGGGGCCTGGCTCCCGGCCGGAGGGGGGTGGGGGGAGGCGACCGCCCGTGCTGGTCCTCAGTCCCGGACCTTGGGTCCCTCCAGCCCGGGACTCCTCCATCCTGCCAGCTTGGGCGTGCCGCCCCTACGGCCTCTGCACCTGCTCTTCTCTGGCCCCGACGGGGTCACAGATGAAACGTCCACCGGCGTCCTCTCTGCGCTCTCTGCACTGTCTCTCCTCTTCCACCCCTTTCTACCCAGACCCCGGGTGAGCGGGGGCGATGGACGCCGCTGCGCCCCCCGCACCGCGTCCGCCCATACCGCCGGCTCCGCCGACTTCCACTCACGCGCTGGGCGCGCGGGGATCGGCGGGCCGGGGCGGGCCGTGGCGGGGGGGGGTGGGCAGAGGGAGGGGAGAGGCCACCGGCCAGCGCAGCCCGACGGCTTCCGCCCTCCCGCCCACCGGGGCAGCCCCAACGCTTCTTTACGGAGGAAATGGGGTCCTGGAGGGGAGGGGGCGCAACCGAGGCCACCCTGGAGGGACCACCGTTCCCGCCCGCTGTCCGCTAAACCCCGTCCAGGGGCACTGGGGACCGAAGGGAGCAAAGACTCTGCCACAGCGCCACTCCGCACTTCTTCCTGCAGCATGGCGTCCTTCGCAGCTGCCTTGGGGAGTCCCAGTCCCCACGCGCGACCCTCCACAGCCCGCTCCTCAGTGAGCCCCACAGTCCCTCCCTACCCCCAGTGGTCATCAGAACCTTGACCGCAGCAGACGCTGGCCGCTCACGCCTGCAATCAATCCTCGCTGCTCTGGACGCGGGGATCTGAGCATTGCCCAGGCAGTCAAATCCAGGAGACTTAATGCCTCCAATGAACCAACCAAAAGCTGGAAGCAGAGATGTGGCTCAAGTGAAAAAAACAAACAAAAACATTACATTGCTGCTGTATTTTACAGGTTCAGACTTATTTTTATGCCTGGAACAATCCAGATAACTACCTATTGTTCATATTAGATATAGGTAATGTAGAAATGAATTAAAGTGCTGACCGTATAGACATTGCATGCATAAATAACACACCACAGAAGTGACTTGTGAGTCTACAGATAGTCCCAGTCTCCCCATCCCACCTCAACAGAGAGGAACTACTGTAATTATATGTGCCTCAGCCCCTAAAACCTAGCACAAGGCAAATCAATCCCAGCCTGTAAAGTGTCCCCAAGGACATTTCTCCCACTCCTCCCAGGCAGTTTCCACCTTTATGCATTCCTATAACCCTGAATTACCCTCTCCCCTTTGCCCAAGACCCCCTTGGCACAATTTGTGTCTACACATTCATTGATGTGATTTTTATTTAATGTTGGTCTTATGCCAAGCCAGCAGTTTTATGGTACCTGATCCAGAGTGTGAACTTCAAGCATTTCCTCTGGGATTTTTTTTTTCTCTTTTGTCAGTCGCAGGGTTTAAACTTTGGGCCTGGGCGCTGTCCCTCAACTCCTCAGCTCAAGGCAAGCACTCTACCACTTGAGCCACAGTGCCACTTCTGGTTTTCTAGTGGTTAATTGGAAATAAGAGTCTCACAGACTTTCCTGCCTGGGCTGGCTTTGAACTGTGATCCTCAGAATTCAGCCTCCAGAGTACTAGGATTACAGGCATGAGCCACCAGCGCCTGGCTCCTCAGGGATATATAGATGAACACCAGTAAACCAACTCAGGACACAAGACAACTAACTGCTTTCAAGGAGGTGTTACTTAGCCAGGTGCTGGTGGCTCACGCCTGTAATCCTAGCCAGTCAGGAGACTGAGATCTGAGGATCACAGGCCACTGTACCACAGGAAAGTCAAGACTCTTATCCTCAATTAACTACCATAAAGACATAAGTGGAACTGTTGCTCAAGGGATAGAACACTCACCTTGAGCAAAAAGGCCAAGTAAGAATGTGAGGCCCAGAGTTTAAGCCCTAGTTCCCCCCCCACACACACACCAATGATAAGATCATTAGTTATTAGCATGAGGGAAATAAAAGAATGTACTGACAGGACCTAGAAAGAGAACCTCTCTTGTATAGAAACAATGAGGTAAAAGCAACAGGACAATCCAATGCCTATTCCACTGCAGATCAGTCAGGTTTTAAAAATGTAGATATTTTTCTTTCACTGAATGAGCTGAAGACATAAGAGAAAGTTGGATCATGACTTCTAAGTTATTTTTTATGAGTTTTTCCCCCAGTCCTGGGGCTTGAATTCAGTGCCTGGGTACTGTCCTGAGCTTCTTTTGCTTAAGGCTAGCATTCTACCACTAAGCCACATTCCCAGCCCCCAAATGAGTTATTTATTCCACTAAACACTTTACTTCAATTTATGCCTGTACCACGATTTGCTGAAAGACTGCCCTGCCTACTCCAACTGCATAATTTAGCCACATCTTACTGTGCGTTATAGTGAATGAGGTAATGAAAGTAGTATGCTAATTTATATCTTGCATTGATAACATAAAATGTATGTATGTATGAATGTATGTAAGATAGATAGATAGATAGACAGATAGATAGATAGATAGATAGATAGATAGATAGATAGATAGATAGATAGATAGATAGA